ACCAACCTCACAGGGCCTCTGTGGGAGAGAAATTAACATACAAAATAACAATCAATAACACAGCATTACATTACTTTACCACTCATTGCAAACATCCACCAATAATTTATTGAATCTGGGCCCTAACAGAAACGACTTTTTTAAATTTTGTTTTTTCTTTATTTTAGAGACAGGGTCTTGCTCTGTCACCCAGGCTAGAGTGCAGTGGTTGCAGCCTTGAATTCCTGGCTTCAAGTGATCTTCCCACCTCAGCCTCTCAAAGTGCTGGGATTACAGGCCTGAGCCACCGTGTCCAGCTTCAAAACAATTTTAAAATAAAAATGTCCAAAAATCAAATACATGACTTTTGGGTTACTGATAGTTTCTGGATTTTCTGCTTTGCTATTTTCCCTAAATCTGGCATGAAAAACTAAGATACAAAGATACATCCAAGGTACATACGCATACATATTGACATTCTTCTAATACAGCACTTCAAAAATAACAAAGATTTCAGCAGATGCCCCAAACGAAGCCTTCTCCCCGATACTACTCCTCTCACAGCTTCTCTTGTCTCGATGACCCACCCTTACCTCAATGACTCTTTAAAATCAGGGACCACAGAGAAGGTGGCTCAGCCTTTGGGAGAAGCAGCTCTCTTCCTGTAAGCTCCCTGGGCACAGCTGAAAGGGATGTGTACTTTCTGCTAGAGGCCAGAACATGGAGCCTTGGTAGGAGCTGTCTAGCCCTTATCCCCAGCCTGGGCAGTAAGAACCATAAAGGCCACCATGTGGCTGCCTTGCTTGACACCAAATCCCAGTGCTCAGCATGGCACACAGTAGGAGCTCAAGAGGTACGTGTTGCAAGAAGAAGTATGTGGATAAACATAACAGTACATTTGAGCTATTTCTCAAGCACTTACTACATGTTGGCACTGTCTGGGAATCTTGGAGAATAATATCTAATCTTTGCAACTATTGCTGATGCAGGTTGTCACCCCTGCTCTTTGGAGGTGTGTAAACAGGTTCAGAGAGGTTAAGCGCCTAGTCCAAGGGCCACAGTGATCAGCGAACCTGGCCCCAGGTCCATCTGACTCCTGAGCCTGTGTTCGTGCCAATAACCTAAGAGACTTGAGGGAAGGCTTGGAGGCCACTGAAAGATGACCAGCCTGTTAAGCCCCATCTTCATCCTGCTACTTGCTGTAGAAGTGCGCGAAGGATTTGTAAAGCTTAGTGTTGAAGCATCTGACGCCTCTCACAGTCTGTGATTTACAGAACCGTTCTTGAGCTAGCTTAATCATGCATATTTTAAGGGGAGGGAAGGGGCAGGCCCACTGAAGCAATACGAGTACGTCTTCCTTAAAGAGCATGAAATGTGCGTTTGTGTGGGAGAATGCCTCGATCCATATTAATGAACAAGAGATGGCTAAGAGGAATCCACCTTCAAAGATCAGATGCATATAAAATATAAGCCGGGAGTAAAATATTTGCATAGTGCTCAGTACAAGCCTGATTACTAAAAAGGTACCAGAGCTCTGAGGGGTTGGTGCATCCAGAGGGCCCAGCTGACAGCAGTCTGGCAACATCACCCTATGCCCTCCAGAGCAGAGATGCGCTGGAACCAGCTTACACAAGCTCATACGCCGAATGTGCATACCTCTCCCCAACTCCACATCCAATGATGTCAGGTCAGGAGCCTAAAACTGGCCATGATAGAAGCACTTACACCACAGAAGTTGGTAAATGCCACAAATCAGGTTTCCCCTCTCTCCAGCCCACCACTGGCAGGTGCCCAGCAGCCACCATTCCCAGCAAGTTTCTAGTACCCATGGAAAACCGCCCAAATTCTGTGGAAAATACCATGGGATCATCCTCCGGAAACCCACACAGAACAGAGCTGTCTGGCCTGGGAAGTCTCGGCTCCTTTTTAGCCTTTTTCCCCACCTCCTCTGCAGCACTGCGCGCTGACACCCTCCCCAGAATCCCTGTGGCACCACAGCCAGGAGAATCTTCTCCAGCAGTAGATGGCTTTGCACATGTCACAGTGAGACACTGTTTAAACACAGTTGGTGGACAAGGAGTCCCTGCATTTGGTTTCAGGAAACTGTAACATCATTTTGAGAAAACTAAATTTTATTCAAGGTTCTTTACTATGTTATTATTTTAAAACATCTTTCTCTACATCAAAACAAGAAATTATAAAGTTTCACGAAGATATTTTTGGAGGAGTAGAAGAAATAAAACTAAGTGGGATAGAGAAAATTATGTGAATTTAATCTAAAGAAAATGAAAAATTTCAGTGCTACCAAACAATTCAGCATTTCCAAACACAGTAATTTAATCCAGTTTCTCCTTCCGTCTTATATACATAAGAACAGTGTGAACTTTGTGCTTCTGAGATTTCTAAGCTGTGTTCATACTTAACCAGCTATCTGATTTCAGAAACTGTTGTCCTGCCAAGCTACAATAGCACAGTGTCTCTTTAAGAGCCAAGAGATATGTAGTTGTCTCCTTCTTTAACATGTCTCTTGAAGGGGAGTGGGGCTTAAACATACATACATACCTATATGTGTATACATGCACATATACACATGTACATATGCACATACATACATGTATGTATGTAGGCAAGTCAGCCCTCTGTATCCATCAGTTCATTATATCCATGGATTCAACCAATTGCAGATCGAAAATATTCAAAAAATAACAATGACAATAAAAAATAATCAAAATTTAAAAAACACAGTATAACAACTATTCACCTAGAATTTACATTGTATTAGCTATTACAAGTAATCTAGAGATGATTTAAAGTATACGAGAGGCTGTGTGTAGTTCGTATGCAAATACTACACCAATATTTTTTCTAACGTTATGTGATTATGATTTAATACTGCATCTTTATGTTTGTTTACATTTTTTTTATTTCGGGGTATTATGAGGGTACATACATTATGGTTACATTTTATATCTTTGCCTCACCCAAGCGAGGGTTAAAGGCATGCCCTTCCCCGCTACAATGCTCCCCATGTCCTTTAGTTGTGGGTTTACCCCCACATCCTCTTAATCCCTGGAGAGTATTACTGCCATGCTACACCAATATTTTAATTTCAGGGACTTGAGCATCTGCAGGTTTTGGGATCTGTGGGATCCTGGATCCAATGCCCCATAGATCTCGAGGGATGCGTGTGTGTGTGTGTGTGTGTGTGTGTGTGTGTGTGTATGCATCTGAAAGAAGAAGGTCAAAAACACTCCTGTAAAAATCAAATATAAAACCCAGACCCTGTCAGGTAATGCCAATTGATTACAGAAAGTCTTAAAAAGTTAACTGAAAACTTAGGGCATGAAACAGTTCAACCTCAGCACATTTTTTTGCAAGGCAATGATGAAAGTTTGGAAGCACAGGACAATGATAGCATCATCAATCAGATCCCCATGCCTGTCCCAACAGCCACAGTAAATGTCTATTTCCTGCCAATCCAACCCAAGAGGGTAAAGGATATGAAAACGAATCTCTGGCCTACAATTCCAGTTATTTACTGGGATTCTAAGCCAATCCATTCTCCCCTCTGTGATTCTGGGACATGGGGGTTGTAAAAAATAATGCAATGGCTCCAGAAGCCTTAGATATTCTAAGGAAAAAATATATATATAAAAGAAAGGAAGGAAGATGTATTGCATGCGTGCATTCTCTCATCATCCATGATGATGGCTGCCATCAACCCCATCCTGCAGGTGAAGGGCCTGCAGGGAGAGGTGAGATAATTTGCCCAAGACGGCACAGTTAAAGAAGAATGAAGATTCGCACCAGAGTACTCTCTACTACCCCATCCTGCTCCCCACCTCCATAAAACTGTCATTAAGAAAACAAAAGGCACACGTTCACCATTACCCCAGATGGATGGATTTAAAATTATCCTGAGTTTTCTGTGCTGCTCATCTATTTCTGTGCATCAGCCCTGTCGCTGAAAGTGCTGAAGGATATAGTCAATTCATTTGTTTTACATTAAGATGCACTTCATGGCTATTACAGCAAGCAGAGCTTCTCGCTGGATCAAAAACTCTGAGCACCCCCAGATGCGGCAGTTGACAATCTCACATCTCTGTTTACTGGGGGCAGATTTCCAAAACTGTCTTCAGCTTCAAATAGTCACAGGGTTTAGGAAAGAGTAGCAACTAACACACTGTATGCCACGATCATTTTTTAGTTGAATTATCAAGAAGTGGATATAAATATAACCACATTTCTCTGTATGGTAACAGCACAGGAGCTAAGCCCTCTCAAGAGGGAATATGTGATTATTTATTGAAAAAAGCAAAAAAAAAGAAAAAACCCAAAACCCAAACTTTTAATGATACTAGAGGTTTTCATCAATTCTCATTAGTTTAAAGGTTCTACAATGTTTTTTCTTTGCAGGATGAATAAGCAATCTGAGTATTCAGTAAATATTTTTAGACAATCCAAAGAAGTTCACCTATAGGTATGCTTGCAATAGCATTAGTTATAACTGCAAGAGAAGAAAAATCTAGGAACTCCATAATGTTCAATAACAGAATCGTTAAAATAAAGTACTTCCATTCAATGTTGCATTGCAAAAAGCTCTTAGAAATTATAATTAGGAAGACACTATAACCAAGGAAAACAAAATGTTCCTGTTAATCAATGTTAAGTAAGGAAAGAAAACCCTGCACTTTCATCTATGCAAACTTCGTGCATGGACAAAAAATAGCAGGTACTGCAGATAAATGAACCTCGTTGGGAGGGTAGTAGAATTTGTGGGTAAAGTTTTACTTCTGTCATTTTAGATTTCTATTACAGTTGTTATAATCTTAACCAGGCAATAAGAAATGCTGATAAATAATAATGAGGAGGACAGTGATGGCAACAAGGATGACGAGGAATGAATAAAACCAAAACTTTCTCACATTAGGACTGAACTGCAGGATGGCAGCAGCCCTTTCGGTGGGGACTTGGGCGGGAAGGAAACGGGCAGGACCCCGGCGTGCCAGCACCTGGCCTACCTTGCTGAATGAGCACTTCTGCCGCTAGCTCCCCGGTGCCGGCGTTGGCGTACTCCTCGTCGGGGTGCTTCCTGTTGTAGTGCCGCTTCAGAGAGCCAGATATGTTGCAGGAGTAAGGGCAGTGGGCACAGCGGAAAGGCTGCAGGGATGAGGAGGAGGGGTTAGGAGGGTGTGAGCCCCAATCGTCTGCCTTCACTGCGTCCCCACCTGCTGAGTACCTGAGGCCCCTAGAGACTGCAATGAACTGGCCCCATCACCTGTGGTGTGTTCTAGGGAAAACCACTGGGGCAGGAAAGCTGAGTCTTTCATTCACCCCAGAATGTACAGCTCTTGTTCAAGAAGAAAACAAAAACAGCAATATAGCGATCTATTACCTTTTTTTAAGTGAATGCCATTAAAAGTAGCTTCCCATTACAATTAATCCCCTGATACAGTCACACACTACAAAACAACATTTTGTTCAACGATGGACCGAATGTATGACAGTGATTAGAGCAACAGGCCGTACATGCAGCCCAGGTGTGTAGCAGGCTATAGGCTATACCACCTAGGTTTGTGTAAGCACACTCTATGGTGTTTGCACAATGACAAAATCGCCTAACAACTCGTTTCTCAGGACACATCCCCATCGTTAAGAGACACATGACTGTATTTGTTCTTTGGCTAAATGACTTCCTCCACAGTATTTACTTGTGTACACAAAGGTCAACCATTAGGGATGTCCACCTGGTAAAATCTATTTCCCACTCCCACTGTGAAAGACAAGGCTCTTTCAGGATAAGGCCACGAATGGGTCACACAGCCTTGTCTGTCCTCCTGCTTCAAGGGCCTCATAAAAAGTGGGGAGTGGAGAGGAGCACCTGCTCAGGCCTCCTGGGGAGCCCAGTGAGACCTGGCCATTGGCTGGGCGACGGATGTGCGTCCGGATCATCGTCATATCTGGACTCGTGCGCCTGGTCAGGAAGCAATTAGAGTGCCCTCCTAGACCACATGTCCTGTGATTCTGACAGTGTCCCAGGGGCATCCAAGGCCTGTTTGGTAACCCAGCAGCCTCCCAGCCCAGCAGGAGCAGAAGGTCACCGAGCAGCCCACAACAGCAGCAATGCTCTGGAAGGGACAGGGGATCCAGATGCAACAAGTCCAACCACACCTCTGGCCCCGACCAACGACGGAACCTCAGACAAGTCATGAAATTTCTTAGTACTGATCTATTCACATCAGGAAGAGAGGATAACACACCTACCTGGTACGGTTGTTACGAGAATTAAATGATAGCATGTAAATTGATACCTAAGATGCCGTACAAAATGTTTCTTATCATTTTTAGCAGCAATTTTGCCACAACTCCTGCTGTGTGTCTGGGAACTGAGGTACCACTGCGTCTATTAAGACTTCAAACACTACCTGGATTCCGCAACTGCCCAATTCCTCAATCCTTTCACCACTATTGCCCAGAAGAGCTAAACCAGTGACAGCAATGTCTGAATGTGAAGTGCACCAGTAACGGGAAAATGCCCTCTCATCTTTGAAGCTTTAATCAGTTCCTCTTTCGATGGTTTCTTCCTTTCAAGTCTACAAATGTTCTGAAGTCTTCAGAGACAGAGACAGAGAGAGGAGGAGGGAGGAAGGGATGAAAATGAAAAGGAAAACCTTCCACCTTGCCCCCTGCCTTTGGTCACACTTTCTGGTAGGCCCCTTGTCCACCCCCATCCCAAAGAGCAGTTTCTGCCCATATCCTTCACTCTGTTACTGCACTTTTTCAGGCCTCCGAGATCTCCCTGCAAACGACTCCTGGAGGTCTCCCTTCTCAGACCTTATGCCTCCCCACCATCTCCTTTGGTTGCCTGTCCCTTCCGACGGTGACATCTGTGACACTGTCACACTGCCATCACCAGGTTCTCCTCCTGCCATGGCTCAACTTTCTGGGTTTATTTACTAGATCTGCTTCCCAGGCCTAATGCTAATGCTGGCTTGGGCCTGCTTTGCTCTTCCGTCCTGGTTCCAATGATCGTTTTGCATTGCTGATTGCTGGGACTATATGTTCAGTTGTGACCTCTCTCCTGAGTCACAAACAGGAATTTTCAACTGCCTTCCAGGTATCCTTGCAGGGATGCCCTGTAGGCCCCTCAAATAAACACATGCAATTTCAGGCTCACATCTTTCTGCAAAATCAGCTAGGCCTCAAAGACAGCAGTCCATCAGTCATCCTCAGCTTTTCCTTCTCTCTTACTGTTCAGCTGATTACTGCATCTTGTCCAGTCTTCCTGGGAAATCTCCCCAGATGTCCCAGCCCTCAACATCTGCTATCTCTCCAGCACAGAGAATGTGCCGTCCCAGCCAAAAAAGGGAATGCTGTTACCCACAGGAGGGCCATTATTGGAGAGAAAGTCACAGGGCAGTTAATCCGGTTAGCCAACCTGCTTTGGAACATTCCCCAGGGACTTCGCCCTACACGAAGGCCATGCTTTGGTTACAGGATGCTTTGTGCTACACTGTATGTGCTACGTTCCTATATTCAGTCCTTCAAGTAAGAGAATCCTTGTGGTTTGGTCCACAAGGCTTTATCAAACAAAAGGGCCTGCCACAAAGGCAGAATTAGTCAGGCTTTCTCATCTATCTACTGAGCAGAGAACAAAAGGTCTAAAATTCCAATATAGGATTACTGCAAGTTAAAATAAAAGGTAAACCATTTCCAAGTGCTTTCATCTCTAAATAAGTAAATATCATGATGATACTATTTTTGGAATGTTAGCATTTACACAGAAATCCAAAAGAAAAGCCAAAAATGATATGCTGCCAGCACTGGGCAGCCTGTGGGCAACGAGGCAATAGGAGAAAGGGTGACGAAAATAAGAAACGGTCCTGTAGACCTAGCTTCAGACTCGAGAGGCAACTGTATCCTTGTGGCAAAGCAGATAAATCACCGCCTGAGAGTTTCAACTCCTTTTCTGCCCTATGCCCACTCCTTGGCAGAATTGCTAATAATAGGGGGAAAAAAATGCCAAAATATGAACATGTAAGCAAAAATTGTACAGGTGAGCCCAAATGAGAAATCAATCTCTGAGCTACTGATTTCTGTCAAAAACCTTCAATTCTCAAAGATGGAAGGGACACTTGGCTCAAACGAATCTTCCCTCCATAGAAGACTTTCTTCCATAGCATCTCAGTTGACAGTCCACTGAGCCTCTGCTTTGATGTAGGAAGGTCAAGACTCGCCCTAGCAGTCTGTTCACTGGGGAACGGTGCAGGGGGTTAGAAAGATAAATTCCTTCTTTCCTTCACTGGTTTTGCCTCTGCTTCTCAGGCTCATTAGAACCTTAACATGACATCAGTTATCACCCATCTCCTACTTGGGACCTTCTCTCCTGAACTGTGGTAACTGAGCCACATTGGGGCTCTTCAAGCCAAACAAGTTCTGACCCGGAGGCATTGCCACAGGCCAGCAGGAAATTCCACTGGGGCTGTTGCAGGGGCAGAGAGACCAAGGAGAGAGTGAATGGCATCCCTACGCCATTGTTAGACATAAAGTCTGACTCCATTATTGATATTGCAAGTCTTGAGATTTCATTTATGAAGCATATATTTACTGACCTCTTACTATGAGTCAGGCATTGTCCTCCGACCCTGGGGACACAATGACAAACAAGGCAGAATTGTGATTCTCTAAAAGTTAAATATCAACTCCAAAGATTAAAGGCTATCTGGGCAAACTAAATCAGAAAACCTGGTTTCTAAGTCGGACACTTGTAAAGAGCAGATGACACTAGATCTCAAAACAGAAGGTATTTATTCAGAGCTTTCAGGGCAGAATCTGGCGAAGAGTTAGGAGGAAGATATAAACAGGCTATATCGTCATAGCTCATCTGGAACAAAACATCAAAGTTCTTATTTTAGTCCAAAAAGAAAGTGAATCAAAAAACAAGAGAAGGAGCCCACTGTTGCAGCTATTATTCACTGTTGCACTGGAGTTCTTAACCAAAGTAATAAGATCTAACATTGTACGTATTACAATTTTCTCTAATTTTTACTAATAGCTACCAAATGCCAGATAGTTCTAAATATTTTACATGAATTAATTCCTGTAAGTGTCATAATAACCTCATATGGTAGGTGCAGTTATCGTCCCTGTTTTACAGACACAGAATTGTTAAGAAACTTGCCCAAAGTTTCACAGTCTCCTAGCCTGGCTACTTGGTTTGTATCAAAATGTGCCAGGCTCAGCTGACAATAAAGAGATGATTTGGTTTCCTATTGGCCATTATTTTCTGAGCATCAGTTTCTCCTGAAGACCCACTGGAAGGGTATGGTTTGGTATTCTTGGATCTCCCAGACACAAGGCAACTCAGATTTAACTATCACATTCTAGAATTCGGAACACCATGGTGGACTGGGAGAGATGGAGGCAGTTACTAGACTGTTGCCATGAGGCAGGGGCTGTGGAGGGAGATAAGATGAGGGTTCACACCAGCGAGGTCACAGCGTGCTGTGTGCTGGGTCAGGAAAGTGACATCAGGCAATGGGAGCCACCGGCAGGTGTCAGGCAGGAGAATGGCATGGCCAACTTCATATTTAGAACTCTGAAAGTTAAAGGAGGGTGAATGTGAAAGGATGAGACTGGATGCAGGGAACCAATTACACAGTTGTTGCAGTGGTACAGACGACAGATATTGAGGGCCTACAATGAGACACGGGAAGAAGAAGAACAGGGAAAAGGAAGAGAGATGGAGGGGGTAAGATCAGCCAGGCCTGCTGGCTGGGATGACATGTGAGAGGGAGGAGATGGAGAGCCTCTAGGACGACTCCCAAGTTTTCAGCATGGATGGCAGAGGAGGAAGAAGACCACCAGCATAGAGGAAGAGGGTGTGTTTCTAGAACTCTGGGCAGCTGGGAGGGTGGCTCTAGAAAGTGGCTGGAGACATGAGTCTAAAACTCAGAGGACAGTTAGGCTGAAGATACAGATCTGAGCACTGACAACTGGCCAATGCCCTAAGATTGAATGCGGCCATGGAGAGAGTAAGTAAAGTGAGAAGACAGGCAGGATTGGAACAGCACCCTTGACCACAGGGGCAGGCAGGAGAAGGGAGATGAGTTCAAAGGACCACACAGAAGGAAAGCAGGTGGATCAGGGGGTCTGGAGAC